CTCGTGCCCTAGAGTGCTCCAGGTAGGAGAGAAAGGTGTCAACAACCCCCATGGGAGAGTGCGAAGGGAGGGACGAAGGGATGGCTACTCCTGTAGCTGATGCAAGGAGAGCTGATGTTATCTCCTGTGGGGAGGGACTCTTGATTGACAGAGGGGGGGCACCGCCCACACGTGTGCGCGGCCTATTGTCTTACTGTCTCCACAATCACCGCCTTCTAATGGATTTCAGATTACCGCCCAGAAGGGTGTGTCGTCCTCTCTTCATTGGCCGGTCGGTGGGGGATCCTTCTTACCTTTTTTTACATCCAGCTTTCGTGGATTGCTGTGATTTCCCTTCTTCTATCCTCCAGTGTGTGTTGTTTCGGAGGTACTTTCCACAATGTCGGACTTTCTTGTCTAAATATAGCCATGGGTGAACTGTGTTCGAGGAACTAACAATTTGTTCTTCGTTGAGTTGGAAAAATATATGTGTGGGTGTGTATGTGTTTGTGGGCAAAATATATTGCAGTTTTTGTGGATTCTGAAACCAGGATGTTTTTTGTTCATTAGCTTTAAAAAGAATATTAAAAAAAACAACAACAACCCAGCACGCTTTACCCGAAAGAAGATTGAGGACGATCCCGAAAATCTCCAACTTTAGGAAGACATTTTTGAGCATCATTTGAATAGCAAAGTACTGACTGGAAAAGTGAAAGGTTTTCCTTGAAATTTTTGGCAGATTCCATTTCAAGACACATAAAGGACACTGTGACCTAATTCATAATTGAGATTGAAAAGGCTGCTATTTCGGCCAGGAAATTTGAGAACAATCATCACCAAGAAGGATGGCAAAGCTGTGGTTTTGATTTTCCAGAGTCTATTCAGATGATCCTAAACCCATCGTTACAGCCACTGAAAGGAGAGTATTGGATTGGAAGCTTCATTTAAAACGCCCGGAACGGAAATTATTCAGTTAAGATGTCCCAGATAAAGTCTCCAGGACATAATTCCATGTACGATGCTGGGCAATAAAAATTCAGCACAGAGTGATAAACGGTGGAATATTTAGAGCCCAGGCTAAAAGAAATCATCATTTACTCCACTATCATCAGCACTGTCTTCTTGATTGTTACCAATTTGCAAGCTAAGACTTAACGATCTCTCAGGGCTAAAGAAAGTAGGCCTTTGTTGTCGTCGTCCTCGTTTCCAGTAAGCAAAACAAGGGAGAGAGAGAGAGAGAGAGAGAGAGAGAGAGAGAGAGAGAGAGAGAGAGAGAAAGAAAGAGAGAGAGAGGGAGAGGCCAAAGAGACCACCATTGCCATCATCGACATCCTGGTCGACGTCTTTATTGCTGATAGAGCTATAACACTATAAGAAGCTAGCCCACAAGGAACCCGGATAATCGTCGTGGTCGCTGTCCTGGTGGTTGTCTAGCGTCATGAAGTACCTGGAACAGAAACCTAGCTGCCGTTTCGCCTACATGGGCGAGTGCGTGTTCACGTCCAGCTACCAACAGACAGAGCGTTTCGCCAGCATCGTGCAGCAGCGGAGCATGGAGGAGAGCTACCCTGGGTACTATGACAGCGGGGATGCATCCTCCTCCTCCCCTGTGCTGGCGGGAGGTGGGAACCTCTACGCCCTGGTAGAGGGCTTGCCCAGCTGGAAGCTGTGCGGTAGGTTTTTCCCTCTCGAATGGATTTTGTCTCGTTCTTGACTCGTGAGTGGTGGTTGGCGGATGCTCCGGTGTGGTTTGCTCCTTCTTTCCCATCAAACATCTATCGTCCTTATCTCTCCTCCTTCTTTTTTGTGTTTGTCACTTTCTCGTAACACCTCTAATCTTCGGCACTTATATGACCTTAATGTGTTCCAAGTGCCGTAAAACACTTACTAAAACTAAAGTCCTTGACTCGCTGGGCTTGCTAACACCCGATTTTCGGTAGAGGTCTTTCCTTTGGTGATTTTGTTCCCCTCTTTGTGCGATGATGGAAACTTTCTGGCAAGTCTTTTCCAATGTTGTTTTCTTTAGGGTTTTTCCTCTTTTTTTTTTTTTACCTTTCATTTCTGTCAGAAGTTTGTGAAAGGTCTGCATCGAGTGATTGTTCTGTCATTGATTTGTTCGTCGGAGATTTTTGACGTGGGAGCGGTTAAATGTGATATCTGCTAGATTCTATCTTTATTATTTTTATTGTTATACTTGTTGTCGTTTAATTTTGGCATTCGTTATTATCGTGAGTGGCTGTAGCTGTTCTTTTCAGTGTTCGCTGTGAGAGTAAGAGCGAATGCGTTGGTAGCTAGGGGGTTGTACACTAAGGTCCTTGGTTGGTGGTCAGTGTCGAAAACGAATGAGCGACCAAATGCCTAATAATTTTTTCCCTTCAGATTTGATGTTCCTACGTAGTTTATCGTTGGCCAAACGTTTTCATTTTTGTTTCGGGTGTTCCCCGTTGTAAACGCTAAGATTGGAATATGTTTCATTTTTGTTCCGGGTGTTCCCCGTTGTAAACGTTAAAATTGGTATATGGTTTAAGGAAAGCTTTGAAACACATGGGTAGGAAAGTCCTTACAAACAAGCAATCACGCATACACTCTGACGTACAGCAAGACGCGCTGGTGTACACACATGAACACACCCAAGCACGTGCACGCAATTAAATTGTACATGTGTATTTAGATCCATGTGCTTTCGTTCATATCAGACAAAATCCTTTGTTGCCGATTATGTTATAATATTTCATCTTACAGTGCACCCCCCTCCCCTTTTTCCATCTCCACCCCTTTACCCTCCTACTTCCCCTCCCTCCTCTTACCCCTCTACCTCTTCCTGTCCTTCTCTCCTTCTCTCTTTGTCCGTCATTTGAGAGGGTGGCTTATCCCCCCCCCTCTCCCCACTCCCTCAAGTCCCCTCCAGAGAACGATAAGTGATAAAAAAACAGCTGATGCAGCAAATCTGTGTGGGCTGTGTTTGTGGTTGGCGAGATAGATGGGCACGAGGATAAGCCTGGGTTAGGGTGGGCAGCAAACAGTCGCATTGTACGTGTCCTTGGGGTTTTCCCGTCCCAGTCACCCTTTCTTTGATGAGTCGGCTATCTGCCGATCTTATTCTTAAACTTCAGTTGTGACAGGGACATTTCATGGGTTTTTTTATGCCCCCCCCCCCCCACACACACGCACACATCTTCCACTTCGATTGTGCGTATTGTTATGTCTTCGAATTTTATATTGTCGTCGAATTTGTCGACCCCACGTCTCCTAGTCTGTTATCACCAACTTGGTCATGCATATTCTCTTTTTCGTTAACGGTTGGTTCGCTGGTGCTCTGGTATGGTTTGCTCCTTCTTTCCTATCAAACGTCTTTCGTTTGTTTTAAAATCCTTCCTCCCTTTTTGTGCTTGTTTCTCTCTTGTAAAACCTCTAATCTTTGGTACCTATAGGACCGAATTGTATTGCGAGAGCCGTAAATCTCTTCTTACTGAAACAAAAACTAATTTTTTTGTTGTTAAATCCGTTGTGACGTAACACATGTACAGACAAAAACGTATGTCGCATGAGCGGTAGTGCTGGGCGGCTAGGTTCCCGATTATTGAAAGCTAGGAATCGTAGGAATCGCCCTTGAACCCAATTACTTACTTTCGAATTATGTGATTTTTTCCCCGGTGGTTGCCTGGTTGGTGCTGAACATCTTCAGGATTTAGGATAACCTTGATTTCGGTACACTACGAAGCATCAACTTCTTTTTTTTTTCAAAAATAAATTCTTTTTCAAAAAGTAGATTTTAATTATAAAAATAACTGGCAACCGTTGGTCTACGTAAAAAGGAGACGGAACTTTACTTCCTTAGTATTAATCGCGGGAATCGGTTCCGGAATCGACTCTTCGCCCAGCTCGGGTGACCGGAGAGCACCACTTTCTCTTTCCTGCCATTGTCTCCTTTGTCCTCACGATTCAGTAAGACGTCACGAAGAGGCGGAGTGGATTGTTGGAGGCGCTAGTTATGGGTTCACTTCTCGTCTTTCCTTGTGTTTTCTCTATCTTTCTGTCTGTCTTGCTCTTCCCTTGTACTGAATATCTAAGTATTTCGGTAATGTGGTTCTCTCTTTCCCTCCCTCCCCCTTCTCTCTCTTTCTCTCTCTCTCTCTCTCTCTCTCTCTCTCTCTCTCTCTCTCTCTCTGTGTCCTCAAACTAGACTACGTGAGCGGTTGGCAGGTGCTTTTTAGTAAGTGTGGTTTGCTCCTTCATTCCTATCAAACATCTATTGCCTTCTTTTTTGTGTTTGTTACTATTATGTAATGCCTCTAATCTTCAGCATTCATATGGCCCAAATGTGTTGTAAGAAAAAAAGCTTACTTAAGCAAGCAAGACTAATTATTTGATTTTCAACGCTGCAATGTCAAATCTTGCCACCCCCCGCCCCCCTTTATAACGCATCTATACCGTGATGCCATTTCTGTCACATGTTCTACATTCTGAACTCACCTGTCGCCTGAGTGAGTGGTTGGAGGATGTCACTGGATCCCATTTTGTACTTTTCTTCCATGGTCTCCTTTATGCTCATAATTAGATAAGGCAGTAGAAAAAGATAGGACGGGGCACGTGTGTTCCAGATTGTCAAATTAAGACAAAATGGTGTACAAAACATATCAAGGTTAAACAACTTATATACAAAAATGAATGTCTATTCTGAATGCCGTTTTGCATTTTGGACTTTTTTTTTCTTGTAGAAGAACTGGCTGCTCTAAATTTATAGACTTTTTGATTACAACTTTGGCGCTTCCTGCTCCACTGGTTGCGAGACAAAAAGACAAGTGATATAATGTTCCGACTACGGATCATTGCAACGGCTGCAGACGTTTATCGTAAAACAAAAAGAATAAAATTATTTAGTTTAAAAACAAAATTTAAAAAAACTTTTACGGATGCAGTCTCTCCTGAAAATTCGTCGTTTCTTAATTAAAATTGTTTTTAAAAAATTAAAAATTTAGTCGTAGATCTAACATTGTCTTTCTTTCTCTCTCTGCTCGCAGAGCACTCCGATGCTGACGTTCAGAACTTTTCGATATCCGGTAACACGGCTTCCGGTCAGACGCAGGGCCAGCAACATGGCCGCGGGCAGACGTCAGCCGCCTCGCAGACGAACACTTCCAGCAACGGGGTGCAGGAGTGCGCCATCTGCCGGGATAAATCAACTGGCAAGCATTATGGAGCATTTAGGTATGTGTTTCCCATCCATCCATCCATCCATCCATCCATCCATCCATCCATCCATCCATCCATCCATCCATCCATCCATCCATCCATCCATCC